TCCTGCATATCAGATATTTACATTACGATTCATCACAGTAGCAAAATTATAGTTATAGAGTAGCAACGAAAATCATTTTATGGTTGGGGTTCACCACAACATGAGGAACTGTATTAAGGGGTTGCGGCATTAGGAAGGTTGAGACCCACTGCTGTAGGGTAATAAATATCTCAGCAATTTTTCGTCTCTCTAGGGCTCCTTTTGTCTTCCTTAAACCTGGGAATAACTAACATGATAATGACTTTATCCCACTCTCCTAACAAGCACCCTCACTCCTCTTTATATAATCTACCTATCACATCAGTAATTTATCGGAGGTGATAACTGGTGGAGATGTTTCACATCAGCTCTTCATTTTTTTTTTATTCTCTCTTTCCTTGAATGGAGCCACTTTTTTGAGGTATATTTTTTGTTGAGCCAAGGTTTTGGAGTCAGATGGTTTGGGGTACAGCCCTGCCCCGGACACTTTGGTCTTGTGAAGCATTAAGTAAGTTAGTTCATCTCTCTGAACTCTAGTGTAGCAGGACTCTTCTAGGGACAAGATCAAATAACCTAGAGAAGTGTGTAACATGTCTCCTGAGATATTTCTAAGTGGCAGCATAACACTGTTGCATGTAAGCCCACTCCTTGAGCATGTGAACAGTCTCATAAGACTGCAGACACTTTATTTCTCTCCCTTTGACCTTGGGATATCACGACCATCTCTTTGTTTCCAGATCCAACACAGGCCTAATGTTCGCCTTTGAGAAATTCTGGCCTGTTTTTCTATTCTTTCTCCTTTAGGAGGCTGAGCTGTCACTCTCAAGTGATAGCTCTGTCAAGACCTCTTGTCTATCTTCTCCATCATTTACTCAAGCCTATTTTCCTTGGTGTTTTGCATAACTTTTTGCTTTCTCCCAGCATTTGTTTCTCCCTTCTAGCTACAACAGGGGTTAGCATTTTATTTATTTATTTATTTATTTATTTATTTATTTATTTATTTATTTATTTATTTTTGTAAAAGGCCAGATGGCAAATATTTTAGGCATTGTGGGTCATATGGTCTCTGTTGCAACTATTCAACTCTGCCACTGTTGTAGGAAAGCAGCTATAAATCATATCTGAATGAATGAATGTGCATTTCAAGTTTTATATATAGAACTTTATGTATAAGAATAGGCTGCAAAACAGATTAGCTCAGCAGGCTATACTTTACTGACCCTTGTTCTATGCTATTAAATTCCAGCCAGCTATTCCCTACTGTATAGAACCTTAAAAGCAGCATTATTAGCCATGACAGCCGACCTCTTAGACTATGGGTGATTCCAGCCCCTCTTTCTCTGTAGATCACAGTCCTAGAGGTTATATTCCTTATCAGAGGAGGTAGACATGAACTTTTTTTTACTCAAATGGTTTAACACTTTTAATAACAATTCAACAGCCCAAGTAATCCAGAAGGCCTGCTCTCTTCTCCCTTTTCAGGACCAATGTGCTGAGTTTCGGGAAAAAATGCAAAATGGAAGACTCAGCTGTACCCGGGAGAGTGACCCTGTACGTGATGCTAATGGCAAATCATACAACAATAAGTGTACCATGTGTAAAGAGATGCTGTAAGTACTTCTTTCAACAGTCTAAAAGATGGCCGCATACTCCTCCCGAATGAATGGCCGTTTCTCATTTCCTTAGGGCTCCCTCTATGAAAATCATTCTTTTTGTTGATTCCCGAATATTATCTTTCTCTTGTTTCCCCTAAGGAAGAGTGAGCCGTAGCAAGGGCAGCTAATCAGTGGCTGATCCCTACTCCATGTTCTATTGTCATTCATTGGCCTATAAGTGCCATCATCATAGGTAATCATGCCTGCATCCTAGAGAAAGTTTGCAATGGTCATTTAGAAGAGCTGAACTGCATAGTTCAAGAGGGTTGTCTTTTGTCATGTGTGTGGGGCACACTTATTGCATAATTCAGGGTGTGTTCCATTTTT